AAACAAATTGTATTTCAAAATGACTAACAAAACTACAATATATAACACCCATATCACTGCTTCGAGTAATTATATCCGTAAAAACGAGTATATGCACATCTACCATTTATTATTTCAATGCTCACAAGAAAATTAAATTTTAGCATAAAATGACGAGACCTTGCCGTCAATCTAGTCTAGGTCCCAAAAATGAAAGCTTATCAGAACAATTATCATAAAAAACATTTATGGAAAAAGCACTGAGAAGCTACGTTACGGTGGTCGGAAAGTGACTAAAGCCCAGATGTCAGGTCAGGAGCAATAACATTGTAAGTTCTTTTTTTGTATTTTGTCTAGAATGTCTCTATAGATGGATGAATTACCGGATCAATTGTGACATCAATATTCAATGCATAGACAGATGGTAGACTTATAAATATGTAAAATAGATTCTGGCAAGAAAAATTTTCTGGTAGGACACAGTGAACCAACTTTCCTAGCAGCAGATCTGGCAATTGATTCAATATAATCTTTCCATTTCACGTCAGTGGAAAATGTTAGTCCCATATGGTAAATGTATATTGTAAAAGTAAAGTCGATTCTCTTTCCATCATACACTGTCTGCATATGACCTTGCAAACAAATATTTAATGTATCAGCATATATATCTTGTGCCTGAGTGACTTACATGAGCTTTTGCCATTTAATCTATACAAATACATTCATATAGAATCAATAAGACTTTGGAGTTGTGCACTCTCCTCAAAGTCAGCCTGCACAACCTCTACTCTGAGATGGGCAATCAAATTTGAAAAGACAAAAATCAGATATTTTTAAGATTTTATTGAACTTTTCAGAAATTATTTTGTAATAAACAGAATTTTTTTTTTTTTTTTCAATTTGTACAAATATTAATTTATTTCATTGAAATAAATTATACATTCACACATGTAAACGTACTACACACACAATTTGAATAAAATTAAAATGAACATCTGTGTCATAAGGGCTAATTTCCCTTTCAGTCTGACAATAACCCCTGGGTAGCAGGAAAAGATTATAATATGTCGCACTTTGAAGTTTTTATGACACATGTATTTAAACTGCATATATATTTTATTAAATGTAGAATTTTAAATAGATGATTTGGATTTGAAATTGATCATCTTGGTCTCAAGGAAGTGAGAAGTACCAAACTAGTATTAATTAAAGATCAGCACTGATAGTACAATTGATGGTAAAGTTTAAATGAAATCATCAAATTTAGCCTCATCATGATTTAAAAAAAAAAAATCTGCAATTAAAATATTTTCAAAACAATTTGCTGAATTTTGGATCAGGATAATTTCTAGTAACACCTGTCAGCTGAACCTCTTGTTTAGTCCTAACCTCTTCAACTTCTAAGTCACCTTCCATTTTGTACTCAATGAATATTGTCTTCTTACACTTACCTCAAAAGTGATATAACACTTAAATTTATTAATATCATGTTCTTTTTGGATTTTTTTTATAGAAAAATATCTTCCCCTCTTTTGACCAGATTTCATTTGTTACTCTATCTTCAGTACTACTCTTCTACTCTCATCATGTTTGAATAAGGCCATATAAATGGGGTATCAATTGAGGATCATACTATAGTAGCAAGAGTGTGGGTACCTCGCTATGGCATCATGGTTAGCACAACTCCCTGAGCATTACTGTATATATTTGTGTATAAGCCGACTTAATATATAAAGTAACTTGTGAATTTTAACCCCCTCCAGAAAGAATTTACTTGTGTATAGTGCAACTGGTCACCAAAAAATGCAAGATTTCTAACCTCCTCAAAAAAATTACTTGTGTATTGTGTGACCCCCCCCAATTTTTGGCATGAAAAACCAGTCATAAAAACTTGCACTATACTCAAGTATATGTGGTACATTTTTTTACAGTGTTTGATACTGAAAAGATTCTCTCTAAATGTAGCCTTGTGCCAGACTAAGTTTAGCTTATTAAATACCTGCAGTAGTAATTGTATACAAAGATTAGACATTAGAATACTCTCCTCTTCCTTGAATTACAGGAATTTTTTTTTATGTAATCTCACTTTAACGTGGTTAGTAGACAAAATTTATGTCCTTTTCATTTTAAATTTTCAGCTAGCATTAATTTTCGTTTTCATTTTTTTCTTTAGAAAATTTTCTTTCATAGATGATAAAATCTATGAAGAAGAATTAATCAGTCTGGTGACCAATTAGAATCATACTGGAAGCAGTTCTGACATTAATTCAAAGAAATCTCGGTTATTCACATCCGAAAATGTTGCTGACATTCTCCAATTAATTAGCTAATATATTAAAAAAAAAAAAAAAAAAATGTAATTTTAGCAATCAGTCCATAAACTGAACACAGAAAAAACTTTCAAAAGGATCTCAAATTTGGGCCAAATCAAAAGAAATTTAGTAATAACTAAAATTAAATATTTGTCTATCTTAAACCTACTCTGTGCTTCACTGAGGTTACATTCACTCTGCAGACATTTTTCTTGTTAATCAGTTCACTCCAAGCAAGGCTATAATGCCACTAAGATGCACGTGAAAGGTAGCTCTTTCATCCTGATGTAATGGAATAACCTGTCACCCCCATGAGTAACTCCATTATAGGTAGTAACTATCTATAAGTAGCTGTAAGTCAACAGACTACAGAGAATAGCTGGAATCTGTTCCAGCTGTGCTGGTCAAACTCTCTGCCCAGGGGCAGAAAAGATCCCCAGACAAGTCTATGTCAAAGGGCATAGTCTCATCTCAGGAAGAAGCTACCTGACCCCATTTTATATGGGGCCTACAGGGAATTTTTAGCTGAGCCTACGGGCTCAGATTACCCCTAATTAAACTCAGCCTTGTTCCACATCCTACCTCATGGGGAGGTTGGTAAATATTGACTAGTTGGGATCTGTTGAGTACGACTCGGACTTATGCGAGAACTACCGACCTTTCAATAGTAGCACTCACTACTGGATTGACTTGCGACGACCTTGTGCATAACTGTTACCTTTATCCTTATTGTACTGTTTTTTTACAATAAACCTTTACTTATTTTATCCACCTTGTTTTTCAAGTATTTATTCCTATTAGTACAGAATATAACACATCCAAATCAATCAAGTGAGTACCCATTGTGTCAAATCTTTTATCTATTTACTGGTTTCATTTGAATTGGTCTGGTTTATTTTGTTTTATGACATATCAGCCTCAATTGGTTATTTAATGCCAACAAGATTTTTAAAATTGGTTCATATGAAGAGAATATGTATTCTTTGTAAGAAATCAGTTTGTAGATCCGGTTTCATTGACATTTTTATAAAGATGGTTTTTGTTGAGTCAAATGTATTGCTTATAATATATATTTTAATATATTTTTCTTTATACATTATTTTTATAGGTACAAATATTTAAGTAAATGCTCTGTTTCTAATAAACAGTATCAACAACATTTACAAGCTTTAATGAACAAAAAATCTCAAAGAAAATATGTGTCCTTTGACAGGAATCAAACCTGTATCAAAACTGTCATATAGACTGACGTAATGTATCATTTAACTACAGAGGAACACTCTGGTTAGCAAACAAAAACAGTAATTTAACCTTCCTAACCAGAGGCTTCCTCTGTAGCTAAATGGTATAGCATGTTGAGCACTTACTTAAATATTTGTATCTATAAAAATAATGTATAAACAAAAACTATTAAAATAGTATATGTATATATGTATAATTAGCCAATTTACCGATGATCCATCCTGCATGCCGCACATTTCTTTTGTAAGTAAATGATGATTGATTTTAAATCATTGTTAGAATTTGTGGAGAAAAATGATGCATTTCAATATTACTCAATGATCTTGCTGATGTGACCTCCATCTTTTGGCTTTCTCCTTCTATATTTTGGATAGGAATCATTCCCTTCTATATTTTGGATAGGAATCATTCCCTTGTTCAAATTTAAATTTAATTTAAATCAAATGGAAAAAATTGCAGGGGGGGTGGCTTGTGAAAAAATAACTTGATCTGACCCCTTTGATATTATTTTGTATTTGATGCAATAGCTGATTTAATGAATTGATGAACAAATTTCAACATTGACATGACAGCTGAATTGTTGCAACAAATATATATTGTAAGGCACTATCTACTGATTGGTGATTTCTTGCTCAATTTGACGTCCCTATTGCCTCATTTTGATCTTGTCAATGTGACCTCTGTCTTCTGGCTTTCTCCTTCTATATTTTGGATAGGAATCATTCCCTTGTTTAAATTTAAATCAAAGGGAAAACATTTCAGTCGGGAGTTTGTGCCTCCCAGGGACACCCTTTGATCAAAATGCAATATACTTATCCAAGTACACTGGGTAATGTAGTTTCAGAATATATATATGTGGTTATGGGTGTCTGTCTCCAAAACCCTAGGAGGAGTTTGATAACAAACTGACAGAGGCTACAACACACACACACACACACACACACACACACACACACATTATTTATTTATTTATTTTTCTTTTTTCTAAAAAGTATTGCTGGCATCTTTAATGCAAAAATCTATCTATGGTTAACTATTTGCCCATAGCTGGGACCCTAACAGGTGCTACCACCCTGGTTCAGGGTGTATCTAGGAACAGCAGTTATGAGATGGTTGCATGCCACTCAAAACCTCCAATCTCCTGATTAGATGCCAGATGTAGTTTATGATCATACCCAGGATGACTATTGGTTTTTTTTCTTTTTCGACTTACTTTTTCTTAATTTCTGTTTTCTCTCTCTCTCTCTCTCTCTCCATCTGTTTTTCCTTCAGTTGCTTTGAAGATCTCACATCTCAATTTTACCATTTTTTTTTTTTTTTGGGGGGGGGTTGTCACACTGCTAGCACTTGAAAACCAAATGAAATAATTGACAATGTACTTGACTACATGGTTGTCCTAACCAATCAAGCAGGGACCTATTATATCACATCTATACCTGGGTATTACCTGGTAGCCATACCGGACTGATGTTTTCTCCCTTAAGTCTTTCGTCTTCATCGTTTTACTGCAATCTGCGTTAGGCAAATGTTGTAGATTGTCCTGTTTTTACACATTGAAATGATGTGTAGTTAAATTCTGTTTGTAAGATTACCTCTCATTAGGTAAAGGATAATGTAGGGAAGGCTTTTGTGAATCTAATCATCTGTTAATAATTCATTTTGATTGCATTCAGTCTCTACCAAATGCCCGGTTCTGTAGACATTAACTCAGGCTTATTTATATACTTTACTTACCAGTCATGTTTTGTTACAGCTAGAAGTCTGAAGACATCAGATGAAGCATCTTTGGAAGGGAAAATCACTTCGTTTCACTCTTTTATAGGAAAAAGTTATTAGCTGATGATAATACGGGGACAATTTGTCCTGGAGTGTTTTTCTGTCATCTGTTTTGTTTTTTTTTTTTTTCTTTTTGTAGTTTGTTTTTTTGTCTCGCTTGCACAGCTTTTACGGTGGAGAATATTTTGCCGATATAACTGAATGTCTTACTCTTTTTATGTTCAGTCTGTTTATGATTGTTAGATTATTATATAATAATGATTAGACGATCAATTCAGACATTACTCTCTCTCTCTCTCTCTCTCTCCAATCTATTTTTCTTAATTTCTGTTTTCTCTCTCTCTCTCTCCCTCCATCTGTTTTTCCTTCATTTTTATCAGTGTCTTTCATTTACGTCTTTATCTCTTTCACTTCTCTCTTCTCTTCATTTCACTCTCTCTCTCTCTCTCCTGTTTCAATCTCTTTCTTACTCTAATTTCCACTTCTCTTCCCCTTTTCTTTTCTCTTCCCCTTTCCTTCTCCTTCTCTCTCTCTCTCTATTTTCCTTCTCTCTCTCTCTATTTTCCTTCTCTCTCTCTCTATTTTCCTCCTCCCTCTCTCCTTCTACTATTCCTCTTCTCTCCTTCTACTATTCCTCTTCTCTCCTTCTACTATTCCTCTCCTTCTACTATTCCTCTTCTCTCCTTCTATTATTCCTCTTCTCTCCTTCTACTATTCCTCCTCCCTCTCTCTCCCTACTATTCCTCCTCCCTCTCTCTACCTACTATTCCTCCTCCCTCTCTCTACCTACTATTCCTCCTCCCCTCTCTCTCTTTCTAATTTCCTCCTCCCTCTCTCTCTCTCTCTGCTTTTCCTTCCTTTAAATTTCAGTTCCCTTAATCCTCATGTAACTGTCTCTTCCTAATTTTTTTCTTTCTCACTTTTTATTGCTTCTCTCTCTGATACTCTGACATTTTCTTTCTCCTATTTCTATTTCTGACCTTTTCTCATTGTATCTTTTGTCTATCTCTTCCTTTTTCTTTTTTCCAATTCTTCTTCATATTTTCCCCCCTATTACTTTCCATGAACTCTTTCTCTACCTTACTTTTATTCTTGATTAGAGCACATCTTCTGTAAAATCACTTACTTTTTCGGCTTGATTTTTTATTTCTCATTGTCATCCTCTATTTGTAACACCCATCTCTCTTCCTCATGTCTTTTCGTTCTCTTCTTCTTTTTGTTCTCCTCCTCTTTTCACTCTCTTTTATCTTGTTTTGTTTTTCCTGCCCAAAGCTTTCTTGCTTTTATTTTTTTTTTTCAAATGTCTTTCTGTTGAACTTGTGTTATTACCACCCTCTCTTTCTGCTTCTTTCCCTATCACTTTACAATACTTTCTTTATTCTCATTCATAGGATTTCCTTCTGAATCTATCTCTCTTTCTCTCGATAACAATTTCTTCTTATAATTATTTCAGTGTGCAAGTATTTTTTCATTTATCCTTCTGTGTGTCTTTTTTCACTTCTTTACCCTGTTATTGATCAATCTATCTTTTCTATTCTGTCTTTTTCTTAATTCTGAGTTACTTTCTTTTCCAAAGAGTGCCTTCTTTTCTTTTCTATCTTTCTCTTTTCAACTATTTCTGCTTGCTTCATACAAGAATATTGTCTCTCTCTCCCTCTCTCACATTGTATTCATCACACCCTCTCTCACATTGTATTCATCACACCCTCTCTCACATTGTATTCATCACACCCTCTCTCACATTGTATTCATCACACCCTCTCTCACCTTGTTTTCATCACTCTCTCTCTCACCTTGTTTTCATCACTCCCTCTCTCACCTTGCTTTCATCACTCCCTCTCTCACCTTGTTTTCATCCCTTTTTTCATCCCTTTTTCTCTCTCCTTGTTTTCATCCCTTTTTCTCTCTCCTTGTTTTCATCCCTTTTTCTCTCTCCTTGTTTTCATCCCTTTTTCTCTCTCTCGCTCTTTATTTTCATCCCTTTCTCTCTCTCGCTCTTTATTTTCATCCCTTTCTCTCTCTCGCTCTTTATTTTCATCTGTTTCTCTCTCTCGCTCTCTTTATTTTCATCCCTTTCTCTCTCTTTATTTTCATCCCTTTCTCTCTCTTTATTTTTATCCCTTTCTCTCTCTTTATTTTCATCCCTTTCTCTCTCTCTCTTTATTTTCATCACTCTCTTTCCCCTTCTTTTTGTCACTCACAAGGAAAGAGAGAGAGGAAAACAAGGTGAGAGAATGAGGAAAATGAAAGAGAGAGAGAGGAAAATGAAAGAGAGAGAGAGGAAAACTAGGGGAGTTAGAGAGTGAAGAAATCAAGAAAACGAGTTTTGCTCGCTCTCTCTCTCCTTGTTTTTGCTCGCTCTCTCTCTCCTTGTTTTTGCTCGCTCTCTCTCTCCTTGTTTTTGCTCGCTCTCTCTCTCTCCTTGTTTTTGCTCTCTCTCTCTCTCCTTGTTTTTGCTCTCTCTCTCCTTGTTTTTGCTCTCTCTCTCCTCTCCTTGTTTTCCTCGCTCTCTCTCTCTCCTTGTTTTCCTCGCTCTCTCTCTCTCCTTGTTTTCCTCGCTCTCTCTCTCTTGTTTCCCTCCTCTCTCTCTCTCCTTGTTTTCCTCGCTCTCTCTCTCTCTCCTTGTTTTTCTCTCTCTCTCTCTCCTTGTTTTCCTCGCTCTCTCTCTCTCCTTGTTTTCCTCGCTCTCTCTCTCCTTGTTTTCTAGCTCTCTCTCTCTCCTTGTTTTTCCTCGCTCTCTCTCTCTCTCCTTTTTCCTCGCTCTCTCTCTCTCCTTGTTTTCCTCGCTCTCTCTCTCTCTCCTTGTTTTTCCTCCTCTCTCTCTCTCTCCTTGTTTTCCCTCGCTCTCTCTCTCCTTGTTTTCCTCGCTCACCTCTCTCGCCTTGTTTTCCTCGCTCACTCTCTCGCCTTGATTTCCTCGCTCACTCTCTCTCCTTGATTTCCTCGCTCACTCTCTCTCCTTGATTTCCTCGCTCTCTCTCTCTCCTTGTTTTTGCTCGCTCACTCTCTCTCTTTGTTTTCATCTCTCCTGAAGGAAGAGACTCTTTAACTCAGTACAGTTTTTGTCACTCCAACTGAAGAACTGGTTCTAATGGAATAATGGCAAAGAAATATTCCTCAAAGTTTTTTTTTCTTTTTTTTTCTTTACACTCCTCAGTTCTCTCTCGTGTTCTTTTTCCATATTTCTTTTGGGCAGGAAGTTATTATGTCATAATGGGACGGCAATCTGCCAAGAAGAGGCCTCTTTTCTCACTGCTTTTTCTCATTCTAATTCTTTTGCTTGGAAATTGTTGTCACGAAAGAAGCAGCAAATGGCATCTTACTTTGAGTCTGCAGCAAAGTTCCTCCATAAGAAAGGCAAAAATTCTTCTTTTTTTTTTCTTTGCTTTCTGGCAAGAGGTATTAACTGACATTTATGTACTTACCATCAAAACCATTGATAGCTCATTGGACAACTGTTCACCTAGCTTGAGGTTCAGTCCCTACAGTAAAGATTGTTGAAATCTTTTAGATTTTAGAAGGATATAATAAATATTTTGTATAAATGATTATTTCTACCACATTTTGGAAGTTTTTTTTATCTATTATTAAGTGTACAGTAATGAGACTCACCAACTTGGCATCATACATAAAAAAGTTTTGACATATGCATACTTATATATAAAGATAAATACAAATATTCTCTGTCATGATAAATGTGTATATCACATATATGTGGGTGGATCAGTAACTCTATAGCCTGACAGGATTATTGATGAAGTTTTATCTGAAAGAAGGAAATTTTGTATGAATTGCTTTGTTTCATCATTAGGCTACAGACTTATTGATGTATCTTCATGGTTGTTGATGGTTTAACCTGTTGGATGGAATTGATTAATAGTAAGACAAATCTTTTGAGAAAATGTAAAAAAGAAGGACTCTTAGACTTAACCTCAGAAAGATACAATTGAAAGTTCTAGGGCACATAATGAGGAAAGTGGGCTGAGAAAATTTGACACTCACAGGACATAGAAGGCAAGGGTGTTAGAGGAAAGCAGTGCATAATGTAGCTAATGAGTCCGTGTAAATCGTTGACAGAAGAGATTGATTCATTGAATTGTTTATCCTATAGCTTGGAGAGAAGAGGTGGAGTCCTACCTTTCCCAAGAATATTTGCAAGGGAATATATTGAAATAAAATGGAATTGGAAGTCAGTACAAGATTGGCAACAAGGTCTTATCATTCTACAGTTGAGTTAGTAGATGTAACCATAAGTTCTTTACTAACAGTTTCTTTACTCACAATTCTTGCTGTGGAACTCTCTTCTGGTGCCATGCTTTCCAGTCAGAAAGTTCCATCTTCAAAAATTTAAATGCAATGCCAATCATTATTTTCTGATTTCTTAATTCCTATTCTTTTGTTCTCACTCCTTAATATTCTTTTTTTTTTTTATATTCTTTCACACTCAATAACCCCCCCTCCTGTATCTTAGAGGCTTTATTGCCTTGCTTGGAGTGAAATGATTAGGAAAAAAAGACTTTATAGCTTTGGTTTTTGTTTTATCAACATTTTGGCCGTTGTACACTCCGGCCTTCTTCAGGTGGTTGGAAGGTTGAACTGAACCCTTTATTTTGCTCACTGGGGTAGACTGTTCTAGTTTCACGTGCCATGTTTAATGGATGTCAGTTATCATTTATCTCCGTTAATTCCCCTCTCCAAGTTCTGCCTTAACCGGGTATTGAACTCACACTCTTTGGGTCCTGTCACTGGATCTAACCAACGCCTTTATCCACTGTGCCAAAATAATGAAAATAATCTCTCTGAAATGTATGCAGAAGGTATGGAAAAGTGGTTGCCAAATTATGTTAAGGCCATGCAACATTCAAAGATCTTACTGCGCAAGCGAGAAGAGATACTCTGTCTTAAGGTTTCTCTTACTCTATTGACATTGAGATTCAATTGAGTAAACTTGTGTATCTTGTGACTGTTGTATTCACAATAGCCAAACAAGTGGATTCTTTACATCTCATATAGAATTTTATTTTTGTTCTATCTTTTTTTCTTTGGAGGGGGGAAATAACATTGCCCTCCATCTACGTCTTTCACAACCCAGAATTAGTTCTAGCTTTTCTAAAATCCAAATTTGAAGTAAAACTACGTTGATGTGATTAAAGGAAACACAACCATTTGATCCTGAAATAAAAATACTTTGCAGACAAAAAGAAAGCGTGTTGCATTCTGTGTTGTTACTGGCTCCAGTTCTTCTGACCTCAACGTCACATCATATACTGTATCAAGAAAGGAAGATTTCTTTTTCACTTTATTATACAAGAGAGACAGATCTGGTAGCATTGATTCTTGGAGGTAGTGGGAAGATGGTCAGCAGAATGCATCTTATCTTAACATTTTGTACATAGGTAAAGAATTCTCAAAGAATTACAGGTGCAGAAGGTGAATTGACTCTTCAGAATTCTTGTGGCCATCTGCTATTTTCATGTTGTTTTGGTCTTATATTCCACACATATGTTCTATGCTAACAGTTTCTTCACTCACATTTCTTGCTTGTGGAACTCTCAGCCACATCTTGTTTCCTAGTCAATTTTGGTCTTTAAAAATTTAAATCCAATGACAGTCATTATCTACTGTCTTCTTAATTCTTGTTCTTTTACTGTTCTTTCTCCTTAATAGCGTTTTTTTTTCTATTTCATATTCTCTAACATTCAGTAACACTTTGCATCTTAGTGGCTTTATAGCCTTGCTTAAGGGGAAATGATTAAAAAAATCATCAATTATCTTGGTGTTTGGATGCAGTCATATAAAAAGGACATGATAATGTTTTAATTTAGACAAACGTATACAAATTTCTTGTTGCAACATGCAGTTTATGCTTGCAGGTTGGGTATTATTTGCTGTCGCTTAGTGTTTTATACCATGGGGGGGGATTATTCCATTGGAAGAAAATAAGCTATAGCAAGTAGACAACTTCAAGTATCTTCATGCTTGAGTTCTTCTGTATGCTGAGTCCTGTCAGGACATAGGCGATCATGGCTCTCCACAACTTCCAGTCTCATGTGCATTTTTCTCCAATTACTAAGGCTCCCACCCCTCTTCTGCTATTCATTCATACAAGCTCGTCAGGGAAATGGCTCGTTAACTTCCACTATCTCTCTTGCCCTCAGTATGTCCTGTGTGTTAAGTTTCCCAAGCTCTCTTTACTTGTTATGCGCCCAAGGAATTTCAGCCGCCTTTTCCTGACTTTTAGTATAAATGTTTTTTGTATTGCCATTTTCTTTAAGACTTTCTTGTTGCATGCTCACTGCATCCATGGAATTTTCAGGTTCCAGCTCATTCATGGGGAGACGGATGTATATCAGATGGCAATCCAGCATTCTTTTCTTTATTTTTAATGAACTTCTTTTATGTCTCAGCACCTTTCATAGCTTTTGGAATGCCTCTTTAGCCCGTCAAATACATGTTCAGATCTCAATGTTGCATTTTCCATCCTCTGTGAAGATACTTCTCAGATATTTAAACTGTTGCATTTAATTGATATTTATATCTCTAATTTGTAACTTGCATCTTGGTCTTATTTTTTTGTTTTGTTTGGGTTCGGTCAAGTGAGAAGGATGTGGAAATCAGAACTGAGCAAGTTTGGAACTACCTGTACAAAATGGAAAGGATACAGATGTCAAATCTCCAAAACCACCTAAAAATAAAATTTTCAAACTGCAGGGGAAAGCATACCACTAGATAATGGTGAAAGCTGGACTTTAACAAAGAAAATGAATGATAGGCTTAACAGAACATACACAAGGATTCTCAGGGCTATATTTGGAGTCTATATGAGCAGGAGCTATCCAGTCTTCACTTTCCAGTCTCAATAGAGTCCAAAAGCATCTCTGCGTCCTTGTGAGTGACATATTATTTTCCACCTTGCAACCCCTTTCCTCACAGACAAAATGTTGTGAGCTTCTTACTGTTTGCTATTTCAACCATGCCGCAGACATTGTAGCGAAGCACCCCCATTCCCTTTGTATTTCTCTGGTGAGATGCAGGTCCCACTTGAGCAGCTTCTTCCCATGAACTGTTGCTCTGTGGAACTAACTCCCAAGAGGTTACTCCCCAATCAGTACAATCTTAACCTGTTTGAGTCTAGGTTAACCATTATCCTCCCCACATATCCATAACAACTATGCCTCTTATTCCGTGTAAAAAAAAAAAAAAATATAATGAACACAAAACAAGGATGAATAATGTTAAAATATTTGTGGAACCAACTCCCAAAAGGTTGCTTCCACAATCACTACATTCTTAACCTGTTCAAGTCTCAGGTTAGCCATTATCCTCTCTATATGTCCGCATAAACTGTGCATTTTATTCTGTACCCCTCTGCCTTGAGTCTCTCTCGGACCTTCTACAGAGTGAACATCATGTAAAAAAGAATGTTATTGTTTTGTTCAAGTACTTTCAACCATCTTGGTTATTTTCAAGAACAGACTCTGCATTGGTCTCTTGAAAGTGACAAAGATGGTCAGAAGTACTTGAACAAAACAAAAAGACAAAAAAGCCTATGAACAGTTTATGCCTAATTTTGAGCGCAGTACTTCACGCCTTATTTATAAATTGTAAAAATACAATAAGAAATTAAACAGACAGACCTTGTTGGTTCTTTTTAATCAAACTTGTATGGATGAATACTTGCTGCCTAAATATACCCTATTCACACACACACACACACACACACATATTTATATTTTCTATGCTAAAATAGTATAAAAAAAAGAAATAAAAAAACTAATTTACTAGCTTGATGAATTTTCTTGAGTCAGAAAAAATGACTGCAACCCAATCTGAATGCTGGCCTTTTAGTGTAAACCATCTTTAGAAATCCAGACTTAGCCTTAAATCAGACATTCCTCTTCCCCCTCCCTAGACTGAGCAACAGATTCAATGGAGGTTGCACAAAAGCTCTCTCATGATTAACT